ATCCCACCTGCCAATTCACGCCTTAAGGCCCGACAGCTTCAAAACTCTTCCAGCCCACCAACTTCCATTAAATGGGCGTCATCGGTGGAAGTTTAGAGCGCGTTTTCAGGAAACAGCGCTTGAATTCGAAAGTGGGGTTTGGGCTACGGTGTACTTGGAAATTCTACTACCAAACACCACCAAAGTCTGAGAAAGGCCCACTTTGCCGATCCACTGCCTTTAAGGATGTGCAAACAAACCTTATCAAAATTTGGGTCCTGTGACGAGTCTAAGAGATTGCCTTTCGTGTCGGTTACGCGATAAATTGGCATAGCCGGTGCCTTATCAGGATCAATGATCTCCAGCTTCTCAGTGAACGCAGCCTAAAATGAACGTAAATAGCTGTGTTTAGTTGAACATAAAACGTAAAATCTATTACCTTACGATGGCCCAAGTACTTCTCACCAAACTCATGTAGAGCAAAGTCATCTGTAGCCTGTGCGCTCAGAAGTCTCAGCGAACTACGTACTACTGCTGTACGACACACTACTGGTACTACACGAGTTAACATCTGAAAGTGTTGCGTAAAAGACGAAAATGGGAAATGACTAAGAACGATAGCGTAGAAAGGCTAAGCGCCTAGCAAACGCTAATTGAAAGCAACCTCAACCAGTAGCAAAGATTTCCCTAGGGAGACAGCGATAAGATACGGTGAAGAGACACCTCTGATTCAAGCAAAGCAAAAACAAGTTGAGAGGATTTACTGCTATAAAAACCTATCAGTACATAACAATTCAACGACGTAACAAAGAATCAGAAAAATCCTATAAAACTATTCCAACGCTGCCAACAACACGACTAGTCATGCAATAAATACATAACGACATTGATCGATGAGAATCTAAAACGTGAAGCTGTATGAATTGAGCTCAATTATTGTGCAAAAAAGATTAAACTAAAATACCAAAATTCAATCAGAACTAGCGCCAGAAGATGCTGCTGCATCTTCGACTATAACAACTTTGGTGGGTGAAGTATCCAGAAAATGAAGGGTATCGAAAACGACTTCAATAACAATAAGCACGATGATCATCCATTCCAAAGTAGAAGCCTGCAAAAA